AAGCATAGCTTAAGCAATTTATTCATTTTTAGTTGCTCAACAATTTTTGCACAAAATTTTATAACTTCACTTATGCATTATTTAGTTTTACAAGACTAACTTCATTTTTCATTTAATATTTTTGAAGAAATAAAAAATATTTTTCTTTTTTATACTCTTTTTCACTGTCATATAATAAAATAGATGTTATAGTTTCAGAATTAATTTTTTTTCATTTTTTTATCCGTGTTGAGTGAAAGAAAGGAATGATATTAGCAATAGATAAAAAATTTGAAACAATAAATGCCACTGAATTGTTCACAAAATTTATCGTTTACTTTCTACTAAAATCTAAATTATGATTCTTTTTTTTCTTTTTTAACACAATTTTATCGGAGTTTATTGTAATAATTTTTTCTTTATTTTAATAAACATGTCATATGTTTAAAAAGTGTTGTTTATAATTCGAAAAATTATAGAAATAATTGGTCAGTTAATAAATAGTCAGTTTTTTTTGTTGGATTGATAAAAAAAATTTTTGCATGCAAATTCAAGGAATTGTAGTAACGTTTAATTAATTATCTTTTTTTTTGTCAAATTAAGTTAGAAAATAATTTTCACATACAGTATTTATTAATGATGCCACTGTTAGTAATAGCAGCAGTATTTATAATTCGAAGAATTATAGAAATAATCAGTAGTAGTAGTAGTGGTAGTGATATAGTAGTAGTATTGATAGTGATACAGTGATTGTAATGGCAATAATAGACTAGTAATGATAGCAATATAGTAATAGTAGCGTAATGATACGGTAATAGCAATAGTGATAATAATAGCAGTAGTGGTAGTAGTAGTCGTAGTGATGCAGTAATAATAATAGTAGTAGTAGCAGTACTGATAGTAGTGGTAGTGATACAGTAACAGTAATGGTAATGGTAGTAGTAGTAGTAATAGCAGTTGTAACAGTAGCAATTAACAATACCGCATTGTTTGTTTGTTTGAAGAATAATTAAAAGCTTTAATGTTTTTAACTTCTTGAAATATGAAAAAAAAAAGTTCTCATTGCAAAAGTTTGCGTATGCTTGATTGATAGCATTGAATGCAACCAACGAAACCTTTCTTTCTCTTCCTTTCTTCTTCATTTCCCTTTCTTCTCATTTTTTCATTCTATTCCGTGATTTACTTCAAAATTTCACTATCATCATTCAAGTATTGGACATTTCAATTCCTAGTCAATTGATGAAAAAGTTTTGTGAAAACGATTTTTTAAAAAAAAATGAAAATTTATAAGTTTTATTTTAGCAAAGATTTATTGGACTTAAACTTAAAAATTCCACTGTCATCATTCACATACTTTTAATTCTTAACTGTTTTTGTTTGTTTGTTTGTTTTTTGTTTTGGTACTAATAAAATATCAAAATTTATACTCCAAATTTATTTCATATTCCATAAATATAGATATTACCGAAATAGATTTCTAAAAAATTTCAAGCAACAATTCTAGAAATATTCTCCTTATCGAAACAACTGTTATATGTGGGAAAAATTTACTACCATATTTCATAATTTAATTTCGAAAAATATCCATTCCTGAACATATGAAGTCATATAAAAAAAATTAACAAAGAAGAAAGGAACCCGTTATTTTTTTTCTTTGCTGCTAAAAAAATCTAAGCTTTTGTCATCTAATGAATTTTCACTTGTAACCTTTGGCTTTAAAAAAGAAAATAAATGGTCTTGTCTTTGAATTTTCATTTTATATGTCTCAGTTGAGTGATATATCATTATGAAGTTGAAAAGGAGGCGGAAAAAAAGTGGATTTCATTTAAACGCCAACTGCCACTTTCATTTAATCATATTATTATTTAGGGGAACTTCCCATTTTCTTTGCTCAAATTAACTAAGTGATAGCACAAATGATTGAAAAAGTCTTTTCAATTAAACTTGTTGCCATTGAAAATATTCTTTGCCCTCTCTCTCTCTCTCTCTCTCTCTCTCTCTCTCTCTCTCTCTCTCTCTCTCTCTCTCTCTCTCTCTGTCCTTCATCATTTTATTGCATCATTAAATTTCATGAAATAACGCATTAATTATATCCCATACATTCAATACTTCAAATCATTCTCGTTGAATTACATATATTTTTTAAACAATCAAAAACTGATCTTTCTGATCACAAAATGAAAATAATATTAGAAATCATTGATTTATGTGACATAGTAAATTTAATTTAAAATTTTGTGATGTAATAAATTTGATTTGAATTTTAGACCAAATTAATTTATTAAACTCAAGAGGTAATAAGTTAAAATTTTGAAAATAGACGACATGATATTCCTATCATATGCTTGGCTTGCTTTATACTTTTTTTATCTAGGCTGATTTTTTTTTTGTTCTAATTTTATTTAATTTTAAGATCTATAAATAGAGTTTTGATGGATAGAAAACTTTTTATCTTAAAAATTATTTTCATCAGAGAAGATTATTTCAAGGAAAATTCATCGTTAGCATTTGTTTTTTACTTTTTGATTTTACAATTATCGCTAAGCAGATGAATTATATTTAAGAGCAAAAAATGAGAATTTAAAGGAGTGTTAAGCGTAATATTTAATTTTTAAAAATTTTTTTAGGATAATGATGAATTTAATGATGAATTTAAGAGGTGTTGAAATTGACATTTCTAAGTGAAAAACAAATTATTTATAAAAACGGAGCAAATTAAAGATGGTAACATTAGCAAGCTTCATAAAGAAATGTATGAGCAATGCTAATGTAGTAAACATTAGCAAGTCTCATAGTATGTAATCTTTTTATTTTGAAAAATTTAAATTATTAAAAAAAGAATATATTCAATCATTGTTATACATGATGCATAAATGATTTTGAAATCTGTTACAGATGTATTTAATAACAACTCTGCTACCTGCTCAATCCGATCAACCGCTCATCAATCGTATTCTACCAAAAGAACTCATTCTTAGGTAACAATATCTCTTTTGCTCTTTCATATTAATTGTTTGTTTGTTTGTTTTTTGTTGAATTTTTTATATCTCCATAAAATTTTTTTCATAATTGTTATTTGATTTTAAATGGAATTGAAAATTTTGTTGACCAAAAAAAAAAGAATTTGTAGGAGGAAAGAAATTTTTTATTTTCAAATTTTCATTATCAATTATTACCTTTAAGAGACCTTGAAAATTTTCTAAGAATATTTCAGTGTAGAATGTCAAAATAATCGTTTCATCGTTTACAATTGCTTTTTTCCACTCTTTTTTTTTTTTAGAAAACTGAAATTGTCTTTTTTTTTCTCCTACCCTTTCTTGAAATTTTGAAAATTACATATTTTTCAGGATCTTTTCATTTTTGGATATTACATCACTATGTCGATGTGCTCAAACATGTCGTCATTGGAATCTTTTAGCGCTTGATGGTAGCAATTGGCAACAAGTTGATCTCTTTCAATTTCAAAAAGACATCAAAGTAAGATCACAATTAGCAATTATCAATTTCATTTATTTACTCCTTACATTACATTATTATTTATTATTGATATCATTTTATTACTACTATTGCTAAAAAAATGTTATCATAAGTTACGCAAGTTTATTGAATATTTTGAATTAAGGTTATCAAATTCCATTCTTTATATATTCTAATGTGTAATTTAAAAAATTTTTAGAAGTGTTTTTTTAACAAGATAATATGAGTAAGATGTTGAAAATAAGGTGAAAGTGTTAAAAAAAGAAAAAGATAGAGATAATTTTAGAAAAGTAAAGACCATTTGCGAATACCTCTACTACAAATGTTATATTATATGTCGCCATGTCTGGCAACTTTTTTGGTACCACTATCATTCCTAAATTCATAATTAAAAAAAATGAAAATTATCAAAACACTATCTGTAACTAATGCTTTTCATAATAATAGTAGTAATAATAATTGTTGTTGTTGTTGTTATTGTCATCGCACTTACTATTATTATTTGGATTGGTTAGTGCAATAATGAATTGTATATCAATTTAATCAAGGTTACCGCTTCAATTTCGTATATTCATTAAATAAGTAGAGATGTTACTGTCAATAACAATTATTCAATTTTACGACAAGTTTTGAATAAACAACATAGTTTTACGAATGTCGCATGATAGCATGATTTTGAATACTTAAAATTCACGGCACTTTATTTCACTTCTCCCATACCATCTACAATTATCCATTCATTCATCGATTTCTTCCCTCTATTCTTTCCTTCAGTCATATTTCATTTTATTTTTGGATAAATAAATTATAAATAAAGTTAAAAATGAAAATTAGAATAAATAAATTGCTCAAATGAAACTATGAAAAGGTTCATTCTAAAAATTGTTTTTCCTGCCAAAAAATCTCTGAATTAAATTTTTGTATTAGTAAATGTAATCAATACAACTTAATAATTGAAGATTTAAAGCATCTTTTTTTGCTTTCATTTTCTCAAAAGTTTTAATAGAGCAAAATGATAAATGAATAAATGAAGTTTTTAGCTATTTTCAAATGAATGAACAATCACCTGCAAAATGGAAAAGCATTAAAATGGTTTCACTTAACAAAAATTCAATTAACTCAAACCATTAAGCATCCTATAAACAAAAAGCTTCCTAAACTTTTTTTCTTTCCTTTTTCCCTTTTTTTCTATAATAAAGAAAATAATAAGAAATATTTCAGGCACCGGTAGTAGAAAATTTAGCAAAAAGATGTGGTGGTTTTTTGAAAAAATTAAGCTTACGTGGATGTGAAAATGTACAAGAAAATGCTTTACGATCATTTACACTGAAATGTCCAAATATTGAGCATCTTTCATTGTACAAATGTAAACGTGTTACCGATTCGTAAGTTTCTCTTTTTTTTGAAATAAATGAAAATTTAAATTCATTCATTAGATAATGTTGCAGAAGGGAAAAATCATAAAAATGAAATATGAAAAGAAAAAATTATGGGAAAAAAATAATGTAAAGCCAAATAAATAGTACTAATGTTACCAATTCATAACTTTTTCCATCACTGACTTTAAAATAAAACATGAAAATTTAAATCCAATAATTTGCTAACTTTAAAAAAAATTAAATAATGAAATATCAAATAAATAATACTAATTTTATCGATTTTTACGTTTTCCCATTTTAGAATTTAAAATATGACATGAAAATCTAAATCTAATCATTTGATAACTTTCAAGAAAAAATTATCAAATAAATTATGTAATATCAAATAACGAATACTAATTCTCATCGATTTGTAAGTTTCCTCACTTTAAAATTTAAAATCTGGCATTAAAATTAAATTCCTATTGATTAATGAAGAAAATATACCTGACAAGCAGTTACACTAAATCTTTCATTCTCTGTCTCTCTGAAAAAATTCCATTTATTATATGAAAATTTTAATTGAACTTTCTATTTTCTTGGAATTGCACATTTAGTGCTTCAGCTTTTTCCTTTTTTTCGTTTTTTTTCCTTTTATCATTTAAGTTTTACATAATATAAAATTGATGAATAAGAAAAGAATAATAAATATTTATTTGAATGAGGAAATTAGCACTTCAATATTTCCTTAAATTTAGTTTGGAATTAGTAGGAGGAAAAGTTTCATTTAAATCTATTAAACATAACAAAAATATTTCATGAATTTTCAAAATTTATCTATTTGTAAAGTACCTAATTTTTCAAATTTATTTTTTATATATATTTAAGGATTTATTTTCATCCATAAAAGTTACGCGAATTATTTTTTCATATTTCAAAAAAAAGAAAAACAAAACAAAACGGAATGTTTTCATTGTATTATTTACAGTACATGCGAATATTTGGGACGAAATTGTCATCGATTAGTTTGGTTGGATCTCGAGAATTGCACGGCAATAACCGATAAATCTCTCAGGGCAGTAAGGTATATTTATTTTTCAGATAAAATTGATAAAATACATTTTCAAACAAAAAAAGGAATATGAAATTCAAAAAAAAAGAAATTTTTCGTTATATGATTGGTAAATTTTGCAAGATAGTGAAATTTCAAGTTAAATTTATAACCGACTATAATCGACTTAATAATCATTTAGCTAAAATGATTAAAATGATTTAAATTCGAAACAAAATAACTTAAATGATAAGGAAAGAAAAAGGAAGAAAATAATTCATTACTGTTACAGTGAAGGATGTAAAAATTTGGAATATTTAAATATTAGCTGGTGTGAAAATGTGCAAAATCGAGGAGTACAAGCAGTGCTACGGGGCTGTCCAAAGTTGAGCACTCTTATCTGTCGTGGATGTGAAGGAGTAAGTAAATCAGATCAGTTTATGGAAATTTTTTCTCTTCTTTTTGAAATTTCTAAAAAAAAGTTCCAAATGTTATTGGTAACACAGTATTTTAAAAAAAAATGAAATTTTTCTTCGACATTTTTCAACCATTCTACAATTAAATTTAATTATTTTACGAAAAAAAGCAATCAAAGCCAAAGGTTGATTTTTTTTTCTTTTTTCTTCTTTTTTATGATTCTCACTGCTGTTTGAAATTAACCAATAAAATGAGAAATTAAAATTAAAACCGAACTGTAAAAGAAATAGAAATCAAATGAAAAAGATATAGACTGATTTAAATTAATAATAATGTTTAATTAATTGATTTGTACCATTAAATATGAATGTAATTTTGATTTCAAAATTTATTTTCGCATGCAAAATAGCAGAGAGTACAAATGATGAATGAATAACCCAAATGACCATTAGAAATAATACGAGCAATTAGTTGTTAATGAATTCCATCAGTAATGAAATCAAGAGAATTTAATATCATTGTGATGACAATTACCTTTTTTTACAAAATTTTAAATTTAAAATTTTTTTAAAATACAATGATGAATTTAAAATATAATGATGCCAATTGTCTTTTTTTACAAAATTTTAAATTTAAAATTTTT